CCATCGTAGCACGTGAAGGCCGAGCTAACTGAGTAGACCACATACCAATGGTGCTCCTAGGTCTACGCTCTTCATTCAAAGAGGACCTCAGTTCTACATCAGCAGAGCTGGTTTATGGCTCACCGTTACGTCTACCGGGCGAGTTCTTTATTCCCAAACCGGACCACGGCAACGCCCCTACCCCTCACCCCTATCTCGATGAGTTACGAAACTTCATTCGTCGCTTGCAACCTGTGCCACCACGCCAACCAGCTCATCCAAAGGTTTTCACCAGCCAAAACCTTACGACTTGTACCCATGCATTCTTACGCAAGGAAGGAATCAAGAAGGGCCTCACTCCACCGTACAACGGCCCCTACAAAGTTCTGACGCGGACTTCCAAAACATTCACGCTGGACATCAACGGTCACGAAGAAGTTGTAGCGGCCGACCGCATAAAACCTGCGTTTATGGATAGCGCTGGCCCCACACTCCCCAACAGCGCACCACATCTTCCTGGTCGACCCATCAAGCAGGTTTCGTGCCATTTATAGCATCGCTTCTTCAGCTCGCAACTTTGGGACTCCATCGTTCATAGCCCACGATTTGGATTCCCCCTAAACACCATGCGCACCTCCCTCACACCACCTTCGCCAGAACTGTCCTGCCTTCATCAGAATACAAGCCTATTAGCCTTGATTCCTGGGGGGAATCCTGTGGCTACGCGCCACTAAGAGATCTCTAGAAAAAGAAGAGAAGGTCGAAGCATGACACGGGTCGCACAGCGGCAAATCTTTTAGAAATCTTTATTATCTAACTAAAAGTCTACTGATCTTTTAAACGGTGCATATTAGTAACTAATCCACTAAATAGACCTATTGCTAAATTACCCAAGCATCAAGGAGGATGCAGGGAATAGACCAGTTGCTCTCGAGCAGGGGGCGCTAGCGCGTCCGCAAGACGAGGGTGCCCCGATGTGCGTCTGTCATAGGGTGAATACACCCATTGTTGTGTTGAAACTTGCCTGCGCGTGCCAAATGGGCCTTAAAATGGCGCCAAAGCACCGGGCAGAGCTAAGCGCTCGCTCCGAACGAGATCGAAGCGCGTGCATTCTGGGCACAGAAATGGCCGAGATGCCGCCACCCTAAGACAGACGTGGCGAAAGTGTATGAAGGCTCCCTACTCAAGACGCGACCATGTTATGCTGGCAGCACTATCTAGACGGCGCTGTAACGTTCGATTTTTCACGTGCCGCGTTCGAATGCAAGTATCTGTGAGCATCTTTTTCCGCGAGATAACAAAAACAACTAAAAATAATTAAAAAAAAAAGATTTATGCAGCTTGTGGCCTCGGTGTCCCATTCAGCTTTATTATTTTATTGCATTCTTTCAAAGCTTCCGTGAGCCCGTATGTTTCACTTTACGTGATAGCGAAGCTGAAGCTACTTGCAAAAACATGTTCCCCCGAACGATGCTCGCACTGCACGAGCGCGCATGCTGGAAAGGGACACTGCAAGCTCGGAGCTCGCTCTTGTAGCCTCTGCTCCGCTGGCGCTTCGAAAGGAACGGAGTATAAAAAAACTGTAGTGGGAGAAGCGTGATGACGCACTTTCGAAACGCGAGCCAAATATTCAATTTTGCTCGCCTGGAGCGCTGCTCAAAACATGAGAACTTCGGGCCTTTAACATTCCAAACGCCACACTTCCTGGCGTCTGCAGCAGTAACTGTTCTAAACCAAAAGCTTAAACAAATGACATCTTGCACGCGCGTTCGTCAATGATTTATTTTGGATATTTCCTTCGAATTTCTTATACGAGAAAGGCACGCACATGCGGCACCCACGTCTGCAGCAGTAACTGTTCTAAAGCAAAAGCCTAAAATAAATGGCATCTTGCACGCGCGTTCGTCAACACTTTATTTTTGTTATTTACTGCGAGTCTTTTATAGGGGGACGGCGTGCGCGTGCGGCGCGTGCGGCGGTGCGAGCTTAAGGTTTTGAAAAAAATCCACGGAACCCTTGCAATAAACAGCTTCGCTGTAAAAATGCGGTTACATAACGACGGAGCTCTTGCTGCCGACGGATTTCGTCTGCGTTTCGTGTACTTACTTTCGCTGACGCTGCACCGACGACAACTATACGTGCGTCGTACGCGCTCCACCATTCGGCTTGGTCGTCTCTGTCGCTGTTTGCTATTCACCATGGAAAGTTTCTTGGCACTATTGTTCACAGAAGGAGAGCTACGCTTTGTAATTTTACAAGATAAAACTGACCTGTAAAAAGCACCTTTGACGAAAGGTTTAGAATGCTACATGCTGGCGCCCATTTTTATGCCCTATTTTAGATCGAGTCTGGTTATTTCAGACACCCTATATATATTTTCAACCATTGCGCGCGCTGCTTTCAGTGTCGTTTTCGCCGACGGACGCCGATCCTCTCGAAGTGACACGGGTTAACGTCGCAGCGCTGTACCAGTATCCGCTTTTGTGCGCTGTAGTTTCTGTGCGACGATGTGAGAATTCAGCGATCGTCTCGCCGTTCAACTTTGGGTCGACGAGCTAAGTGCCCCCGCCTGGACGATCGCGTAAGCCTCGTTTGACGAGACCGACGAAAGCGGTGCTGATCAGGGGTGGGCAAGATACTTCGAAATTGTATCTTCGATACCGATACTCGGTACCCTCGAAAATTGTATTTGAGATACCGATACAAGATACAGATGCAAAACTAATCTCCGATACAGATACTGAATACTGTATTTTAGATACCTCGATACATCGCTAAAACCTCATCCGAAGTACTTTAAAATGGGTGTATCTTATTGCTTTAGATTAATTAACAAAGGTATTATTTGAATTCTTGTGTTTGTTATATTGCGTCTTTTTTTTCAAACGTTTACACAAACGTACAAACCTCAGTAAAAATATTGCAGCCAAGAGAGCAGCGAGGTATAAAGATACACGCTATTTCAAATCCACAGAATCTACCAAACCAAAACGTTCTATCTATAATTGAGTTTTAGTCTCCGCAAGTTTTTTTTCAGAAACACGGACCATGTGGTGTTAACGAGTTATAGTAGATCGTGTTTTCAGGGAAGGATATTTGTATTGGGAGCTCGCGCTGCCACATCGAAGCATGCTCTGAAGCGCGCGCATGGAGTGGTATCGATCCAATGAAAACGATATACTGAAACTCCCTACTGTCGCTGTCGGGGGCTGAAGCTCGAAAAACAAATACAGGCATTGAAAGAATCAGGAGAACGTGTTGGTTAAACATTCATGAGGAGGATTCAGAACGCAAGTAAGAAGAATGGACACACAGAAATATGAGACAGACATGGCAGTCGGTGTCTGTCTCGTTTTCATATTAGTCCCTTGAGTTTACTTGTGTTCTGAATCCTCAAGAAATGACAGACACTTTTAGATAGACGTGCAAGTAGGCAGCAATTTAGCACCATGTTTTGCGTCTTTTCGTTCTGGTCGCTTTATTGTAATATTGTCGCGCAAGAGCTTGCTGCCGTTTTTGCCGCCCTGGCGGTTGAAAAATCCTTCGGTCACGATGGCACCCGTAAGACCGCAGCCTTAAGCAGAAGCATTTGCTCAAAACGCCGGTCTGAAAGTCCGCCACGATGCGGGCGTAAGATTAGCAACGCGAAGGAGAACAGCCGTTCTACAGGAGCCGAGGAGCACGTTGGGGTGTTGTATCTAATAAAGGCGCTTCTCAGAGAAGGGTATCAGCGGAGCATATCGAACTCAACTCGAGGATCTTGCAGGTAGCTCAGGAACTCAAGTTTGACTTGATCTTCCTGACAACTGGGGCTCGTGCCGCAGTGGGCTTCAAAAGAAAAGAATGCATCAGCCGATACGTCAGAGGCTGCAGAGGTTGATGGCGCGCACGCCAAAGGACGCGTGGTATGCTTGGTTGCATTTACAAAGTCAATTACAGCTTTTTCTGTGAGTTGCTGGCCATGCTCGCGGACATCTTGAGGTTCTCGTGACAACCACCGCAACTTAAAGTAGGGGTGAAGAACAGCAGCAACAGTCGCTTCATTTGCACTTGGTTTCATTCGCATAAGCTCGTCAAATCTGCGAATGAACCCAGATGTAACCGCATCCAAAAGTGGTCTGGAGTAGACGAAGTCCATACCAGCCTTCTCCTGAAGCTTTGATTTTACGGTAAAAAGCGTTGGCAGCAGCTCCCCGAAGAAGCAATCGGACTGCGCTTGGAGTCGCGTCAGAGCGGAGGGGATGGGCTGCAGGATCTCACAGTACTCGGCAATAAATGCTAAGTCTCTTTCTTGGAATGTCTGCAGATTTAGTCCATCGCAGACATCTCGCAGTTTATCCTTCGAGCGAAGGAGGTCTTTCATGCTGTCATACAATGAATTCCAGCGTGTTACGCATGGCGTCTTCAGAGAATGCCCTAGGATGTCCACAATAACTTCAGACGACTTGGGTCTTCGAACACAGTTCCATAGAGCCGAACACTTTGACATGACCGATGTGTTAGCACGTTCAAAGGACGGTGTCGACAAGGCTGCCTTCGCATCTGAAGTTGCCACAAGACTCAGCGTGTGACATGCGCATCGAAGATGACGAGGCAAGTTGATTTCAGCATCGTCCAGGTTGTCGGGTTCGACCATAATTTCAAAGAACAAGTCGGCGGCGACATCATCTGCCAGTTAAAAAAGGAACACATTTAGTCGAAATACTTAAAACAGCACTCAAGATTACATGTTTGGAAACATTTTACGGTGAATAACACATATTCATAGAAACTAAAAGAAAAACAGTTGTGCAATAATCAAAAACACTCTCGTTTGCATTAGCTCCAGTGGCTTCACCTTCAAGTATTTGTATTGCGTATCAAAAGAAGAATTATATGTATCACAAAAATTAACCAAGTCAGCTGCACCAGACAAGAGGAAAATTAGAATCGGTGCATAACATGACGGATATTTTTCACACTTCTTGCATTTGTAATCGCACGTTACCCACTTGGGTTTAGGTTATTTAAACAGTCGTAAATCAGTCCTTAAAAAATCTGAGAAAATGTTTGATAATAAGTACAGCATTACCCTTACCCCGGTCAGTAATCTCAGAACAAAAGCCGAACTCCCTGAAGGCTTTGGCGAAGTTGCTGGCGTTGTCTGTGACCGTGGCTACGACCTTCTCCCGCGAGATGTCGAAGGACTGCCTGATGTCTTCCAGCATTTCTGCTATCCTGTCGTACGTGTGGCTTCCACGAAACCTCCTGCAGGCCAGTGCGAGCGACCTCCGAGAAAGGGTGTCAGCATCGATCTAAATAAATATACAAATATCATCATTCATTAGTTACTTAATCATGATTTTCCACAACTTCTACTTTTTAATACAGAATATGTTATAGGAATAGCCTCAGGCACTTCCGGCGACGCCTTCTAGGTAACGAAGGTGGGGAACACGAAAATTGAAATATAAAAAACACCGGCAGCGCTCCGATACGAACCAGCGTCCCTCAGATTATGAATCCGAAGTCTTAAACACAGAACTACTAGGGACTTTTTTACGAATCTCTGACCCTCATACTGTGAATCCGATGTCTTAACCACTGTACTACCGCTCTATGAGGGAACCATATGCTTCGATTCACCTTATACGTGGGCGAAGCATAAAATCTACGTGACCTACGCGTTCCACTACTTTTGGCAGGGCTTTCTTCCGGAGACGCTGTTCCCAGCAAGCTGATGGAAGCTCCCCAAAATAATGCGTACACATTCTGTGTTACCACTGCCTTTGCCACGGTAGTGAAGGAAAGGGACACATTTTGTTTTATTCAAAACACAAAGCGCTTACCCAATGAACCGTGACACCCATGAAGCTACGATGGTGAGTGGACCAGATGTCAGCTGTGGTTGCAACATAGCTTTTACCAGACAACTTCTCTCGCGCGTCATCCAGAAACTTTTCCCATTCCTCATCAATTCGCCGACCTAGGGAGCGTCGCGACATCACACTAGTCCCTGGGCGCAAGCCTAAAATAGAAAAAGAGACAATGTACAATTATAGTGCAGTCTGATTTCGCATAGAATTGGAAGCTCACCTGTTACAAGCTGTATGAAGCCTGGCTCTTTGACTGTCGATAATGAATGCAACCCATCCACAACGAACTTGACGGTCAGATTGTCTACTTTAGGCTGAGTCAGTTGACTCCCGGGAGAGCAAAACAGTTTCGTTTGGCGCATTTTGTCAGCAGGGGCGTCGGCCTTTCTCTTGACTGCTTGTTTTCTCCACCCTTCTTTGTACTCATCGAACCTTCTTAGCTCTTGTGGATGCACGCGCTGAAACAAAATAAGTATCGATTAATTATATAGCCGCCACACAAGTAATATTACACAAAGCGTACTTCCGTAAGCTATGCAAATGCACCGTTTTGGTACATAAGACAGCACTGAAAAATTAGATACATATAGATACACTATGTTCGACTCAATGCATTTCTTGGCATGTTACAAGCAAACAAAAAATCTAATTTAAGTTGATTCTGCACCTACCTTTAAGTGAAGCTTGGAATTCGAGGTTAACGAGTAGGCGCCACAGATGGTTGCTTTACAAAACGAACAGGCAGCCTTTACACTGTCGTCCCTAGATGAAATCACGGTAAAATACTTCCCGTCCAAGATGGCACAGCGAGGAGTATTGTCGTTGTCTGCCATTGCTAGCCCGTCGACGCGGCGGAACAAATAACTTTCAACTCCAAGACTGGGACTGCGAAGTGCGCACCAAACAGTCGGAAATATCAAGTGAAGTTCCGCGGAAAAGAAAACCAGGGACAGAGCTCAGCCTGGCCGCCTAGCGTTTTGCAGACGGCGCCCTCCTGTCTGGCTCCTGTAGTGCTCTGGGCGGCCGTGCAACCCGGGTTTGCTATAGACACACAAAAAAAAGGAAAATGCCCGTGCAGAGACTGCGAAACCGCTCGACTTTCTTTCGATCGTGTTTCTTTGTTTGTTGTTTTAGCCGCGGACACGAGATTTGTTTACTTGATGTTGTCTTTTCGGAGGCCTTCTATGCTCTAGCTTCCCCTGAACAAGAGTGAAAGAAAACGCAGCTTCGATTTAGAAGCGCACTTTTGCAAGTATCGGGTATTTTTACAATACACGATACTTTCAAGAAGTATCTTCGATACCGATACTTCGATACAAGTTTTTCTGGCAAGCGACACCGGATACAAGATACTCAACTGTATCGAAAGATAGTATCGAAGATACAAGTATCTTCGATACTGCCCAGCTCTGGTGCTGATAACTTCTCTTTATTCGTTTAGTGTTCGCCATTGAGACAAGTCGCGTCGCAAAATCGTTGCGATGCGAGTGTTTCGTTTTGTGGTAGTTTTTGTTGCGATGTGAGAGCTGTACAGCCGTGTTTTCTGTGCTTCGTGTCTTTGTTTTGAAAATCGCGTCTTGTCGAGACCAGCACAAGCTTCCTCTACGCCGATGCCTTCGATTCGATTGTTTAGTGTTCGCTCATTTGAGAAGGAATGTAAAAAAATCGTTGCGGTGTACGCGTTTCTTCGCGCTGGCGGGACATTGCTGCAGTCATACCATTGATGCTGCACGCTGTCTGAAACACTCGAATGATGCCACCGCCGTGCTGCATCACCGGACTCGGCTTGCTTCCCTGCTCGCTTTGATAAATGAAATATGCCAACTGGTATGACGTCTTCAAAGCGATATTTATTTATCCGTGAAGCTAGCGCCCTCGCCGAGCCTGGTCGTTGTGAGCAGTCGGTGGAAAATCAAGTAAGCTGCATTTACCTTGTTCCACCTACCATGTCACACCTGGCCCTGCCGCGATAAGATGAGGCAGAAAATCTACGAGGACCACGCCTCATGCGAGATAACAGAGGTACCTTTAGCCGCCTCGCGATAATGTCGTCCCATTCAAAAAGCAGCGACCTCGAGGCCTCGATTGTCACGAGCCCATATCGAATGCCTACGCAGTCTTCGCGTCCACTGTGTGAGCAGCATTTGAATATCTTCACCGCAGAGCTCGATGACTCATTCCCGGGGATCGTACTGTTGCCATTGTCCCCACAGCTCCGTCAACAAATTTCGCGAAGGAGCAAAAGGCGGCTTTGGAAGGAAAGACTGAACGAAAAGCTCCGCTTTCATCTTTTGAATTCCGCCGCGACGAAGACGCTTCTTGGTCAGTGGTGTTGCGTTCGAGCATTCTTGAATTTCACTAGCGACAGGAAGCTGGTGTAAAGTAAGAAATCTTCCAACTCAATGTCGTTGCACATTAAGTTCGGGATTACCGCTGCACGGATTTCGCTTTTGAGTCAAACCATCTATTTTGTTTTATCTTTTCCCAGATATCGTTGAATTCTCCCTGGAGATTGCAATGATGGGCTCGGCGTCTTGTGTTATGCTAAAAAATGGACACGTAGGCATTTAAAAAAAAAATTAGAGTGGTGGTGACAATTTGCTCAAAGGCCAGCTGTAATACGTCTTTATGGTGTAAATAACTTTGTATTTGCATCTATAAAAACTTTATTATTACAACACGTTGTCCTTTAGTCCGTTACTCTGAATAAAGGTTAAAAACGCGGAACAGTACCAAAGCTTTTTTTTCCCCTGTCGATACGCTCAAAATCATCAATTAAGTTATTATTTTTCTTTCTGTCTGTTGTTTGTAAACACGTGAGTGGAGTACTGGCACGTTACGGCAACTGAAAAACCATAACGAACGAAAACAAAACTGCAGATTTATTTGCCGTTTTTACCTGATATATAAAAGTCTTTTCATCTTGCATTTTGCGCCACGTCTTTCAGCGAAGCTTCTTTGGAGCCTCTTGACTTATAGTGCTGTCAAGCTAACAAAACAAAACACATAACGGTTTGTTGTGCAACTTTAAACTTTGCTGCGTTCAACCTTCTGTCGAGAATTCTGAGTTAATGGTGCCTTGAATGTCAACTCTAAGTCGCTCCAAATCTAGAATCATGAAGGCAGCGCACATCAGGCCTCCCCCCCCCAAAAAAAAAAACAAGGCTTCTGATCGTTTATTCTTTTCCTTGTGTCGCCTTCCAGTTAAATTTTGTTGAAACGAATTCGTGTTGACAGTCCTCTATGCACGAAGACTTAAAGGGTACCCTTTTAGCATTTATCTCCGAATGCATTCTCGTGGCTTGCTTAAAACTGGGTATCCTCTCAATACAAAAATAAAGAATAAAAAAGAGGAAGGTGGGTTTTTTTTTATACGCAACACGAAGTCGTGCTTGCAAGACTTGGTTGTCAGAACAAAAACATGATACTTTCTGCGTTCGAGTCTTGCATGCTTCGAGGCATAAAACACTGACCGGAGATGCACATGGAAGTATTCGAATTTACCGTATAAACGAGCAGAAATATTTTACTTCAATTTTGGGGGGCAAAAACGAGTATAGATACAGTGCAATATAGAGCTGGTTATATTGAACCATATACTCGGGGCATCTTGTTAGAAAACAGTAGTTCTTTAACAGCTAATTTTTTCGCAAGCTCGCTTACAACATACATTTTTGTTTTGTTTGTAATAAAAAAGGGTGATTGAGTGGTGTTTTATTACCTTGTCCCATCTGGCGAAATTGCTCATCTGCGGTATCTGCAGCTAAAAAGACAAGTCGCCCGTTGAGGCCGACTAACTTCAAGCGCTGTATATACATACACAGATTACAATTAACCTGCCCCATTATTGAAAAACTAATTAAACACGACACCTAAATAAGAATCACTATCAGATCTAGATATGAACATACTGCGCGTGATGTACGCAACGGTTTGGATGTACCGCTTTTTTTGTGAGATACAAAGAAAGAAGAAAAAATGTAGGGGTACTGTTCGGCTCCGACAAATATATATAGAAATACAAATATAGAAATAGTAAAGATTATTCACATGATTGGGTTTTGGTAGATGTATGACTATCAAATGAGAAATCTTTCTTTTTCTTCATTTTTTCTTTCCTTTATCGGATAGTTGATTAGTGACGAAGGCCTCAACCTTTATCGCGTGAAGTCGCTGCGTCCGTGCAACTTCTTTGTCTGGTCCGCGTCTTTTCGCGCTATTTTTAATTCCGAACCTTTAGCAGCACTGAGGGCTAGTTGAAGGGGTACCTGTGGGTCTCTTGCGTCTTAATTATGATTATAATATTCAATATTGCGTACGCAACTTGCCTACATATGTGCACATTGAAAATGTTGCATTTAGCGTTTCTGTGAAATGTAGGCTAACTTTCTCATTTACAGCAGAGACACCAGGCGCCCATTGGAGCTGACCTACTTCCTGTTGTCTAGACAAACACAACTGCTTAAGTTCAGTCATGGCTTCACCCAACGAATAAACCGACCGATAGAGCCTTACACACAGAAAATTTAGAACGTCTGGGTGTATGAAACTTTAGGAAACTTGCACTGAGAAGTGCTTGCCGACAAGGCAAGAATACCATCATGAATACAGCCTTATTTTGCGCAACCAATGCTGCGTAAGCTTGAGTACTTCATGTGACTCCAGATTAGCATCCGTACTGGACTGGTGAGATTGTTTCAAGGAAGATCCCTCTATTGAAAGTCGATAGAACCAACTTTGGCAAAGAACAATATCACCATACAGTTACCCAATTGGTGGTTCTCAAGTTAAACTATAATATTAAATACAGATGCAGATTTTTTATTGACGTATTGATTTGTTCGTAAACCTGAACTGGTGGCAACTAGAATTAAATCGCAAGGCACACAACCGAGCACTATACACAAAATAGCCTGATAAGCCTTGCGTATTACTGGGAGCAAGCGTGTGTTTGTGTATTCTTTGTTTCTAGCTCTTAAGCCATTAGCGGTATCTTAAAGTAATTGTGAACTCAGCTTTTTGCAACTATCCATTTGGAACTGAAATCAAAAAGGTCTCACCTAAAAATATATGAATACCCAAAAATTGATTTTAGTTTTGATAATTGCTCTGGTTTCGGGCATGTGAAGCCAATATGCTAATTTTTGTATTGAAAGTACTTTATAGGGACAATTCTGTTTTAATTGCTTTTAGTTGTTAGCGAGTTACTTGTTCCTTTATGGCAGAGGCCACTTAGCTTTTAGGAACATTATTATTTGCTTTTTCAAATTCGGATAAACAATATTCCGTTATATCGACCGAGCTCTTTTAATTGGGCGATCGTCCCGTATATACGTGCAATTAAATGTAAAAAATGGTGCTAAAGTCGACATAAAAAAAAAATTAGATTAAGAAATCTCTCTTAATAAATATTACATGGTTTTTGGAGTATAATTCATGCTACTTTGGAATTTTGAAAGTATCATAATATATAGAGACCTTCTTGAATGTTTATAGTGTACTACAGATATGAAAGGGGCACGGACAGGGTATTTATGCTCGCCAAGGTTTACATTGCTATATGGCATATATGATATGAGAACCTATCTATCCAGAACACAATTCGTGGCTCGAACTTAATTTCTTTTCAACCCGAAAACTGCCAATTGGGAACTGGTCTGTTTCAGTCGCGCTAACCTTCTTCTCCTTGGTCACGTGCCGTTCGCTATGGTTTAGACACACAGACCAAATATAATCAAACGTCATGGGTGATTGAAAAGATATCGAAAACACACACTCAATAAATATATATATTGGTCCAAGTCCAATATATATATACCAGCTTCGATCTAAA